ATTGTGCAGTAAGCATTTTGGCAGTAGGAAACATTTTTCGTGCGTTACGGATACATTTTTTGAAGCCAGGTTCTTTTTGGTGGGAGTTGAGCATCCAAACCTCTTTCATTTACTTTTGTTAAATAAATGTATACTTTTAGACTGATAGCTGAACTTTTTTAAAAGCTCAGCTCACAGTCTTTGATATATTCTTTTTGCAGTTAATCACATTCATGAGTAACGATCGTATATGACTGCAGCATTCTGCGTACTAAACTTCATCTATAGTAGATCACCGGTGGAAAACGAAAAATAGAGGCCTCGAACTGAGGTAGATTTGCCGTATATTTCTTGATATCAAACAAAAAAAACAAATACAGCTTAAAACTGAACTATCAACTTCGAAGAATAAGCCCTACTATTAATGCATGAGTGGCGAAGTACAGTGCTCATCGTACGTACTCATCGTCGATGCACTTCATCGTGATTGCGAACTACAAGTCCCAATCACCGAGGCTCCGTCGTTGAAAAACGATCTGCTCTAAGCGAATGTATACACCTGAATGGTCAGTGCTAACTTTCCCATCAGGGTGACTCTTGGCTCCACCTTTCCTTTGTCATAATTATTTATACCGTACGAAGACGTTGGGGCCAAAAGCTATGGTTAAAACTCAACTATTTTAATAGTATTAAAAACGTATTTTTAAATAATAAAATAGGCAATCCTCTTTTTCCACGGCATCTTATCAGCGCTGAATACAGTGTACCGATCTAAACAGGTCACATTTTGTGTATCACAAGGTAGTCGTTGCAGTTGGGGTCAGGCATGCGGTTCTCTTGGGCATGCTTCCTGTGATCGCCAGTGATTGGCGTTGCATTCAGGCGTACTACATGTAGTACGCCCGAATGCAACGCCGTAGTACTACTACGTTGGCATTGTCGATTCAATGCTCGAATGGTACGTCGCGAATCGCGAGACCTCCGAAAAGGACTCGCTCGGAAAACATGAAATTTTGAATGAGCACTATATACATAGTACGGCAACGACATGGTGACCAAGAGCTCGGCATTTCGCGTCGCCCCCTTGCAATGTTGGCAATGTGCATGTACGGAGTAAATTCTGTAGAGTCGGATGTATCCGCATTATATGTATCGGTAGAGTGTGGATTGACACAGGATTTTCGCGGCTCTGGGCGCCCCCGAACCTCTCCGAGATTTTTGAATGCCCGCTCGAGCCGTCGATGGGATTGCAGAGACGAATGCTGCGAGGGATAGTACTCGCTGCGCTGTCGTGCATCTACGGGAGCCAACTATTAAACGCAGTCGTGGAGGTCACTGCAAGTGGATTGGCATGCCACAGCCGCGATGCCTGAACTCGACGTGAACGCTGATACCGATATCTCGCCGCGCGTCCACCCGTCGGGTGGTACCCGATGCAGCTCAGCTCATACCCACCAAAGCTGCAGCAGGAGAGTAGCGCGGGAGCAAGGGAATCATGATGACTCCCTGTCATCCTATGGCTGGTGATTGATTGCCAATTTGCCATGCAAGCTCTGCCTGATGCAGTGCATCTGGCGTAGGGCTCGTTGTCTCGTCGCTGCGGAGGGACCCGCACCCGCAGCGTACACCGCGACACTGAAAGATCAGGTCGAGAGTTCCCTTCCCGCCGTTGGGGTTTGTCCGTCCCCACAAGGTGATCCCTTCAAGGGAATCTCAATCGAACCACCATGAATTTCCCGTGAATATCAATGCCGAAGATAGTAATCTTCTTAACGATGAGTCCCATTAAATGGAACTCAGCGCCACACCGTTGCCGATCTAATCCCTGAGCTTCAGATGGCGGCAGTACCCATTGGTATGGGGGATCCGCCATATCTGATGGTGTGCCGTGGCAACGAGTCAAGACTTGAGCGTGTTCTCATCACCGTGAACAAGAGTTAATACTCGCAATCGGACGAGGCTCGTCTGGACAAATCGTCAACAAGGATCACTTGTGGCGCGTTTTATGCAGGCGGCGCCGTCAAACGTGACTCGACTGGCGCCGTGACGAGTCTTTTATGCAGCATTTGCAGCGTTTACACCGTCGTCCGGCTGGGATTTGGACAGGCCAGTCAAGCAGCGGCATGGCGTGCTTGAATCCCGGTCTCCGGACCTCAACAATCAGAAAGCGGCCAAGCTTTCCTAGTCGAGATGCCTGACCTCTGCAGGC